AGAATATAAGATACTGAAATGATTTATTATACTTTTTTGCGAGAGTGCTACTGCATTTTTCACCGGGTCATGAAAACCCCACCATCGGGTTTATATAAAGTACACTACTGTGTATACAACTGTCGATCGATAAAAGATTATTTTGGTCCGGCGGTGGTCATAATGATTTGTTTTATTGTCTCATCGGAGATTAGACCGTCATCGTCGTTATTCTTTTGACGACCAACATTCGTGTATTTTTCGACGACATTCACTTTAAATTATAATATAATAGAATGTTTGTCACGTCATAATTCGCTGCATTTGTACCAGATCGATTGTGAAATAAATGTACGTATCGATGATTTATCGATCGAAGACAAATCGATTTACCTGGAATAAACTTTCTGTGATTGAATAATATATATTATATGTATGGATATAATTTTTTTTTATGAGATCGTAGCCCGTACCAGCTGCAGTCGGTGACAGTGATCGAACTACAAGGACATACCTCGCGTACCAATGTGAGGCGACTGAAGTCGTTTTTTGTACGAAAACCGTGTAGTTTTAAAGCCACCCGGGTTGTAGAAATGTCGATCTTTTTTCTCTTCTACATCTTAAAAGATATACCTAACGTGTATCAAACGCACGGACTCCAGTTAGAATACTATATATATATAAATGTATTGACAATAACGTTCGAGAGAAATAAAACTGGTGATATTTTTGATTTTTTTCATTATCATTCTACGGGTTCTATACTATTACGGGTTGACATTGCATTATATAAATAAAAACACTTTGGTCAGCCGAAACACACAACTGTTTGTGATTTTGGGTTGCCTGAATTGCCTGAAGTAACGAGCTGCTATTCGGATGGTGACAAAAATAATATCATTCCGACGAAAATGAAAAGTTTTTCCTACAGAAAAATTATTTGCCAAACGTGCTCATGCAGCTGAGATTCGATTTAAAATAACAATACGATATAATTGAAAGCGTAATTTTCTTTGTTTTATTTTGTTTTTCTTCTCTTTTTTTTTAATTCGAAACGGTTACTAACATTTATATTACTGGCAGCAAACGTTTAATTTTTATTTATGCACATAATTTAGCATTTCTCCGATTTTCATAATTGCCTTTGAACTTAAAAATATAAGTCCAACTGACTTGAACTTTAAGCAGATAAAAAAGGAAAAAAGTTAAAATCCTCGTATTTTACTATATAGAACCCACAAAAAGTAAAATTGAAGTTTTCATTACATTTTGACGAATTCAAGTATGCTATTTGTTTATCTTTATATTTATTTCATGAAATATGACCAATTACGTCGTTGATTATATTTATATGAATAAAAACAGATGTCTTTATTTCCAATACTTTAATAAGTAATCATCAATAATTTGTGTTTTATTAATGTCCATTTTAATATGAATTGTTTGCAATCTAAAATATCGTTACGAAAAAATAACAAACGTGTAAGAATTATAATAACACGATGCTTGTGTGTAGTTAAGTAGTTTCGTTCACCATTTTAAAAGTTTGCAGCCATCAGCAAAAATAATATCTCGTGGATCAGTACACCATAATAATTCAATTTTGAAGAATAAAACGCACGCAAACGTGTAAAATGTGATAAAACATATTTTACTTCTCTCCATCAAAATAAAAATAATAATAAATACCATGAAATAAATATCATACATTTGTATTGTACGTGTGAGAAATAAAACAAAGACGATTTACACAAAACCTCGTAGGTCTTATTATTTTTCACGTCCTGTGACTTTTTAGTCCATTTCTCATTTTAAGCGTCCTTTGTTATTATTATTACTACCATCATCTCGTGGCTACTAGATGAATTTCATTGTTACAATGGTCAGCGTGAAGCACCGTGGAAGTGAAACGCACATTAGGTATATCGAAAAGATTAGTTGGCTACCGTGGAATTTCTAGACTCTGGTTGTGGCGGCTGTGATGAATTAAAAAAATATTTTTAGTCCCGAATACCTACGCGATTTCTATATTACTGTACATTGAAAAAACCTAAAAAAGAGTAAGCGTACGCATTCAGTGTGGTGTACGAATGATATTTCGAAAACTTTGCACTCCTTGATACTATTCATCCATCACGAGAAATACAGCTTGGGCTAACGCGATCGATTTTAGCTTTGCAAGTATTATTTTTTTGGATACAGGACGACACGGGTCGTAGCACTCGATAGTGGAAAGAGATCAATTATTAGAAGCGCATCGATTCATACGTGAATAAATTCTAAAACTATATTTTTTCAATGTATTTTCTTCGGGGCGAATGATTGTATCACGTGCATTATGTTCAAACCAAAAATAACCTATGAAATCGAATGGATAATATCTCATATCTGAAACAAGCTAAATACAAAATGAACGCAATGATTAGTATAATATTGTAGATTAATTCAAAAGACAGGACAAAATGGTTTTTGACAAAACGCAACCACCACTTCTTTTCGCTAAAAATGATTGCGATTAATGTGAATTAGGTCCACATAATTACCTGTATGCTCAAGACTAAATTCAACAAAAAATTTGTCATCAAAAATATGTATGTGAAATCAATTTTTTGAGGCAAACAAATTGAATCAATAAGATGTATGAACACGGTCATCGTCGCTATGTGAATAATTATAGATTTATGCTGTAGTTATATAAATTTAAAAAATGGAAATCACAAACTATACTCATATGGACATGTAGTCATATCGTATAAATTTAAAACGAACGTAAAATTAAATATTTAAATGTTAAGTGACGTGTATATTATATGCTAAAATAATAAAATTCGGGTCTTGTGAAAAGTTACGTTTTGCATCACCAAAATTGTTTGTCGACAGTATTTATTATTGCTCTGAAATACTGAAAATCCGGAATGCGTGGGTGATGTTTAATTGTTTAATAATGTTCTTTGGGAAAAATAACAAATTTATAAAATATTTATGTTTTTTTGTATATTTTACATTTAAAAATAACTCCCAAAAAGTCTTCAGTTTTCGAGCAAAAATAATAATTCTCTCCAGCAATTGTATTATAGAAATCAGTTCGTTTTGGCCTCAACGGTGATATATTGCATTCTCTTTTTCATCTGTGGGTGAATATCGTTGAAGTCGACGTTGGTTGTTTTGAGAAAAAAAAATATATATATACCTATATATTTTAAAATAATATGAGTAATGACAGTAATCAATATAATATAATGTATTATATAATATACGGTATATAATACGTTCTGGTTCTATGTATATATGACGTGTAGACTCTATAAATCATTGCACAATGTACATAATACACACATATATATATATATATATTATACTGTGGGTTTCAAGCGTATAGTAATGTTTATTATTTTCGTTTACTTTTATTATTATTATTTTTTTTTTTTGCGACAAAATGGTGAGAGGGGGCGATTAAAAGAACAACGCTCTCCTACTTTTTGACATATTACCTCGAAATTTATTACACGACCCTTTTGTGTTTCACTATTGTTTTGCGCGCTCGTACAGATACACGCATATCTGTATACACTGTGCAAACACATATTATACGTATATCTGTATATATGTGCAGTGCACACCGTACCCAAGGCGTCTTCTTTGTCGAATAGAAAATTAAGTTGAATGGCTTCCAAGGGAGTGCTCGGCCAAAGTTGGTGCGTCACGTGAACGCACGACGTGGTGCCCGTTTGGTTATGCGTATTATTGCGATACAGACGAATCCTTTTTCGCCGTACCCCCGGAAACGTCCACAGAGAATTATCCTTCAGGATTAATTTCAGAAACTGCAGAAAAGAACGCGGTCGTACGTAATCTTGGCCACCGGCCTTTACGTGTGACGTGTATATATATATATATAAGTCACAAGTACTGATTATCTATACATCAGTGTTAAGTCAATACCATATTAGCAATAGCGTCATCTCGCATTTATAATAAATTAATTTGAGTGCGCACTCGATTGTGGTTTAGTTTTTTTTTTTTTTTTTTGAAATCGGTGTATTTCAACGTTTTTAAAAATTATGTGCCAACAATTTTATGATTTTCGAAAAAATATGGAAGTATGGAATTTGAAAAATAATATATTTTTTACACAATTCATAAACTAATGATTTCCCAAAGAATGTTTTTGTCCCAATTTTTTAATGGTTCAAATACACGGATTTGTGAAAAATAAATAAAAATCGAACAGTATATAGGGGTGTTTACAACTTGAATATTGTAGATAGGTACCGCGCATGTGGTGGTAGGTATATCATATATTATTATGAGTATAAAATAATATTGAATATATTGAATACCAAAATCGATTAAAACGAAATTATACACTCATCCATGAATTCCTTCTTATCTACATTTAATAATAAAAAAGTCACTTGAGATGCAAATACCTACCAACTGGTATAAGGTGTAAACGTCGCACGAGACACCTGGTGATTTGATTTTGATATGTAAAACCCCTCTTCATATTATGGTTATAGGTACACCATGCTTAGAGCCCTTGTCACGAGCTGTCACCTAGGGGTCTCTCCGAGAACTCGTTTGGAAAAAGAAATCACCTTATATTATCTATGTATTTTAAATCGTAATATTTTTTTTTTCGTTTAAACGTTAATAAAATAGTTTAGGGTGGGTCCTGGTACATGCTGCACGAATATGAATAATTTATTCTATAGAATGAGGAGATCGGTATTGTTGCATTGGTATATCGGTTCAAGGCTGGTAAGACGGCAGGAACAGTTGAATTTCCAAAAGACTTACAGTTGTAAAATATTAATAGTTTCTTTTTACACACAACGTACTTTATATGCATACCCTCTGTGATTATATCTTATTTCGATGGTAATTCTATTGAATTTCGTGAGCGATAACTCTTAATAACGTACGCACCTTGTCGCATGACTTCAGGTGTCTGGTGTTGAACTTTAAAAATAGTATGTAGCTGAAATGCCTTGACGTTTGTTTTTACCATGTTTTCGCAGGCCATTGGATGTTTGGTGAGATATTCTGCCACATAGTCCCATACGCCCAGGGCACCAGCGTGTACACTTCCACGTTGACGCTGACGTCTATCGCCATCGATCGGTTCTTCGTCATCATCTACCCGTTTCAGCCGAGGATGACCATATGGACAACGGCGCAAATAATCGCCACCATATGGATATTCTCGTTGGTGGCCACGCTGCCATATGGCATTTACATGGCCAACAAGGAGATGTACGGCAAAGATTTTTGCGAGGAGACGTGGCCGCAAGAGACGTTCAGAAAGGTAACTTGCACGTTTATCGACAACGACATAATCATGTTCTATATAATACACAAACATTAAATCAAATGAAGCGTTTTTATTCGTAATGTATCAGAATAACTTTGGGATCTATCACCGAGAGAGGTACATAGGTATAGATGATTTAATCAAACGTATACAGTTAGTTTCGTCATCGTTTACGTATAGTTGCAAATGGGAAAACTACACATTTTTTTTAATGCTGAACATGTGGTTATATTGCGGCGAAAATCGTACCTATATGAAAATATTGAATTGGAAACAATTATATCGGTGTAAATAGTTAGATGTTATCCATTACTAGGTAGGTACGTCTTATATTTCTTGTAATCAATCAAACCGAAGTCTAATTACTTTCTCTCTGCGGCAATTTTTTGTTTTAAGTTCTGCTAATAATTATGATCAAATTAACTTGAACACCAGCAATATATATATATATATATATATATATAATTTTACTACTATAAGAATAAAATTATTATTAGTAAGAACTAATATTTCTTAATATTATAGGTATATGTATATGTATATTTCAATAAATTTGGCCTGGTTTTTAATGTTGTAAAACAATTCGGTATATTATGTAGTAAATATCGTTCAGCAGAAATGTATTTGACATTGTTTTGGCTAGCGTTTTTGAAGGGAGAAAAACAATACGATAAAATATTAATGTATGTTCTTTTTTAAACTTCAAAAATGAAATATGTGTAACTTTGTTAACTGTCTTAAAACAGTGTTATATATCTTTTTTTGTTTGAAATTTCTATTGTTTAAAAACCAATCGGTATTTTATTCTTAAAAATCACAAACTATTATTAATCACTATAAATCTCACTGAGGAGTGGTCTCATAACACATATAACAAACTGTGAAATACCGTTTTCGTAATTTACGTAAGTTTATCACAGTTGCGATGAACAACGATTTCGTTAAATTTTTGCTGTAAATTATTTAATTATTTATACAGTAAAATATTCGCACAACGGATTTAGTATCGAGTGAGAACTTAAATACGCTGAAAGATTGAAAACAAATATTTAGGCAAGTCGCAACACCAACGCGACAATGTTCAATAATATTTTTCGTTGAAATCTTAATGTTTACCGATGTATAATTTTATCATTTTAATGTAGTCACGGTCGTTAACAAAATTGTTTTATTTTACAACTCGTATAGAATTTTCTATATGATCCGTTTATATCAATAATTTTATTAGATCATTAGAATTGAGACAAACTGCGTTTATTTTTTGTTATTTTTTTCGTTGTCGATGAGCGTAGTCGGATAAGAAACTATAAAATGACTTGGAGTAGTGAACATTTTTATTCACGCAATATAATTTAATATGTATAGCAATTTAACTAACGTCTTTCCACATAAAAAGAAATATATAATTATTTATGACCCAATGAAAAATGTATATTATACTATTCTGGGTATTATATGGTTTTTTGATATACTTAAAACTAAAACTTTAACGCGGACAAATTATCACGAAGTGAAATATGTTTCAAAATAATAATACAAGGCCTTTGACGTGTGTAATAAATTAATTCTCACGAATATGAATGTACATAAATATCTAAATACCATCACAATCAAACGCGCTATATTCTGTTTTAAATCGAAATTTAAATTGCATACATAAAAAATTTCTAACATTAATCTTCGAGTCTAATATATAAGTTAACCTAACCTACTTTATTCACTACCTAGGCGGTAATAATTTTAAATTTTGGGTTAACTATAAAAATGTGTTCTGAAATGGCTTACACGGATTAGTGGACCGAGGTATACATATTGATTGAAACTAATATTAAAATATAGTTAGAATTTATTATAAACGGTTCTGAATTCGATAATTAATCTATAATATCGTGTTTGATTTTTATGTAGGTAGGTATTATACTATTATATTGTAAATAGCAAAAATATGTCGTAAGATTATGAACATTTTTGACTAAGAACGTTTTTTTTTTTTTACGCATACCAATACGTCATCATATTCTATCTGCTAGGAGAGTTCTATAACGATTATAAAATTACTAATTGGCCAGCATACAGGGTCGACATGATAATAATATGACATTTTATGTTATAACAATTCGTTTGTACTAGGCTGTACTCGTATATTTTGTACCTTTAAAATATTAAATCTGTTATATTAAAATTGAATGAACTGCTTTATTGAGTAAGTGGTGTATTTCCACTAAAATTAAATTAATACTTTTCTAAAAATCGTATAGAATAACTAGTTAGGCATTTTAAACAATAATCAATTGAGAATGGTTAAAGTTTACACATCATTAAGTACTATTAACTATAGGTAGTTGAAGAGTATAGATATAAAATTATTATTTTCATATTAAAATACAAAAATAAAATTCAGGAATTATGTTATATTTTATATTTGTAATATTTTTTGAGTACATTTAGGCCAACATAAAAATCTATAGCAAACATTTGTCAGTATTTCAATATTATTACTTGGAAATATAATGTACACAATATGAATAATACCTATGTTATTATGGACTCTAATAAAGGAGAAATTTCCATACGTTAGTTATCATTTATGATAGAATATCGATGCCCAAGTGTTAAAATACAATCTTGCTGTGTTCATCATTGTTGTTATTATTTATTGTATTTTATCATAAAATAAAGTAATCAATTCAATCGTCGTATCTGAATATCGAAAACGAAACCGACTAGTTTACATACCGCAGGAATTGCATTTTATTTTAACTATTTCCAACGCACACAATACAACTGAACAATATACAACAATATGCGAAGAATGTATAAAATATCCAGTTCGATTATACGATGTATTCTATTCGGTTAGTGTATAAATAGTATCAAGATATGTCATGAACTAAAACCATTTCATACTTAAATGCTAACACGAAATATACACCGATGAAAAATCAGCGCAATATTAATGGGGCTGGATCGGTATACACACCGACGCTGATGTTCAACAGACGAAAGTTTCGTGGACGATTTATGTGTTTCGCTCGAGGGTCCAAACCGTCGGCGGTGGTATACATAAAGAACTTTTTTCCGGTCGTCTGCTTAATTTTTTTTGCCCTCTCCTGGAAACCGAATAAAAAAAGATAAAAAAAATAAACCCAAGGCGAATAATAATAACGAAATAGCCCTCGACAAGCCGCTTTTTTTAATTGTTGTGTAGAAAACAACTTTGACGACAAGACTCCAAGAATATATAACTCAGTTGTCAAACAGTATGCGTGTGATGGGCTGTGACGTCATGTTATATTATTTACACTAGAAATCTTCATCGACGGCTGTCAAGTCGGAATGGAAAAAGTATCACGAATATTCAAGATTCCATTTCATTGTTGTTGCATATTTTATATTTTGTTTCAACGGGAAACGTGCCATACACTTTAATAATATTAATATAATCCCCACCCATAATATTATTACTTACCTATTGGTCCGAGCACAATAAATCCGGATCCTCGCACCGAAATCCGTCCGGTAAGTCTAATCCCGGCCACAGATCGAGATCCTAATCACCAGCTCTATATTATAAGCCCACAACGTCCGTCCCTCCGCATATAAATAATTATTATTTTAACATTATATCGAATGGCGCATGAATAAAATATGATGTACAACCCTGCGCCAAATCGTTGACATACAATCGATTTATAACGGTGTTGGCCACACATGCCCTCCCCTTCTACAAGATAATGGTAATGTTTTTGGGACGATTTGTCGGAATATTATGTAAAAAAAATTGTAATAATAACATGACTTTTAATAAGTATGAGTGAATTATACCAGGAATTTAATACATTTGCAATCTCTTTTGCTACCTTATAGCAGGAAATATCTACGAGTATTATTAATTATTATACCAATTTTATTTTCAATACTGCATACTTAAACCTTAAAAATTCGCGCATAGGTACCAATAATATTTATTTTTACAACTATATATTATATTTACCAATAATGTATAATTTAATGATCAAACATATCTGATAAAATCATACTTTAATATTTCAATAGTTGTATCCCAGAAATATGAGAAAAATAAGTTTGATAGTAATATTATATATTTCTATTATTATAATCATATAGATTTATTTTTACAATTGATTATTGTTTATTAATATTTAATACTATTACATCGTATTTAAGAAAAATAAATATTGCATTTAAAACTAGGCGAAGTACACGTCAATAATAGGTTAAAGTAAAAACAAATAGGTAATTATTAATAGTAAACAAATATATGTCTTTTCAGGAGCAAATCAATTTTGTCACCCGATCCTTGATGTATTATATTATCTGGTGTTTTTTTTTAATGTTGCAAAGTTGCCGAAAACTGGTATTGATCATGAGTCATAATAAGGCTTAAGTGGCATAACATTATGAGCCAATTGGTTTACCTCGTTATTGGGCTAATTGTTGGGTACCTGCCTTGCATTATTAGTAAGTCAGACATGGTTGGACAATCTGCCTTATATCATGAAATTGTAACAACTTATTAATAGACTATGTCGAAATAAATAATAACATAGCTTAGACTACAACTCCCATGGAATGGCTGGTAGAATGTCGGTGAACAATTTGGGCTTGATATCTCAAATGGTATGTACAGAATGGAATTCAAAATCGAAACAACAGCACTTTCATTTATTTATATTGCATACGGATACATAGGTACTTACGTCTATTTTAACCACGGTACAGATAATATTATGTCATCTGGGTACAAACATATACAATAGGCGTTCCTCTATAATTATCCAAGTCATAAGAGGCAGACTTCTGTGATTCGCGTTCATACTTTCTTCGAGTATTCAACTGACATATATTGATTATAACGATTTCGATTTAGTGTTCGTGCCAGATTCGATCGAAATTAGTGCACATCTATGCACAAAACATGCACACCTACACCTGCATAGGTACACAATATATATACAATCAGTTGTTTCTAT